TGCAAGCAAAAAGTATCGTGAATATTCATAATAAATTACAATGCTATAAGATCTATCAAAAAATTAATGCAAAAACCTTTTTATTGCGACCTTTATCTTTTCCTTTGATCTCCTCTAATCTCTTCCTTTCGGCACTTTTCATAACATACACTTAATCGTATGCAAAAGCAGTGGGATCTTCCAACGCTTCTTTATACTGTTCCTGAACTGATTGACTTATGGAACTTGAAGACAATATTTGCTCATTGACGACTTTCGTGTAGGATTTCGTGTTAGATTTACTACGGTTTTTGCGAACGTCAGTAATCCTGTTGGAATCTGGGTCATCGGCTTCATCAAAAATTAATGCTCTTTAGTTTTGGAGGTTGTGCGGATGAATTTTTAGAGGTCAAGTTGAGACCGTATACCAATGGTTTGTTTTGCTGCATCGTGCGTTTGGCCAAGCACGTAAAATACTGTATTAAAAAAACCGAAAAGTGATCGGCGTTACAAAAAATAACGCGCATGTGATTTTTGAATTTCTGATTTAATTGGGTAACATTCAGACACATGGCGCATGCAAGGTAAAATATTGCGACCTACCTATTTCGGATTAACAAATAAAATAAGCATGTCTTATAGAACACGTCTTCTTAACACGCGACACTATAAAAAAAAAAAAACATTAAGTGCTTTATATCTTTAAAACCTATAAAATCAATATGTCTTCTGTTTCTGATGAAATTTATGTCGGTCGTGATGAGCTTTTTTCATATTTGACTATATATACATCTTTCTGGGATTTATTTCCCGTTTCCGAGAAGTGATCGTTGCTTCATCATTGACCTTTTCAACTACTTCCACTGGTAAAACTTCGAAAATGGTTGGGTTAGGCATTTTTTGCATGAGGCGAGAAAAATAAATGAAAATAGGTTTATTACACTAGAGAATAAGGTGCGTTATTTATTATTTTGCAAAGTAAGGGTAACTTCTAAGCGACCTGAGGGATTCCTAGTTTGACTTAGGGGAATTACTGGGCATGACCGTTTGGTAACCATTCCAAGCCCTCTATTCAGGTGTCCTATCTTTATTGTTAATAAAGGTCTGCTTGTTTTGGAGCAGAAAATAGTTATGCTTCCTTAATTATTAGATAAATTCGCACTCTTCTGTTTATAACAGGTCAGGTCAGAACATTTACGACACGAAAACGGTTTGAAAAAATATTGGGAAGGAGTAGAACAGGAATGTAAAATGGTAAGATTGCATATAATTCGATCATTCATATAGATTAACATTCCATTCATAGAGGTGGAACCATAAAGCTGAAATAGAGCTGGTTCTTCGAAATCTTTCTGGGTTTAATAAGCAATTATGGATAAAGGAGGCTAATTTGTCTGAGCTTATAAGCAAGTGGTACAAATCTAATATCAGCCTGAACCATAGTAATATGGAGGATTTTGTTGAAGGTTTCAAAGATGATTTAGGCAGAAATTCGAATAGAAGATTGTAGATGATAATAATAATTCTTCATCTGATTTTGGCTCGAATTGTAATGATGTGGGGAATTTCGTCAAAGGTTTTGGAGATGATTTAGGTGGAAATTTGGATAAAGGGTCTGTGGATGAGAATACGTTTGATACTCTTTCAAGAGTAGTAGGGATACAAAACTCTCAACGAAAAATTAATAGAAAAAGGAGAGACACACTTCTTTTAAGCTGAGAATTCAATCTCCGTGCACAAAAAAATGTTAATTATAATGTTGGACCTTTATTGAAAAGGTGTCATAAAAACAAGCCCGTATGTATGCTCTTGAGATCTTTTATGAATAAATGATTATTGAATGATCTAGTAATATATTCTAAATAACTTGCACATAAACTTTATCACCATCACCTTCTCCACAACCTTCATCATCATCACAATTATCTCCTCTACAATCACCAATATCATTATTACTATCATCATCGCAAATTTCTCTACCTCCTTCACCGATACCTCCATATAGAGATAGGATTTGTAATCATAAATGCTTGTTATATTGCTTTACCACAATTACATCATAAATAATTATTGGTTTGTTAAAGAATGGGTGATGTTAGATAGTGCACCTGATGTGAAAAGACGGTGGGTAGAAGAAATTGAGAAAAATATAAACATTATGTATCACGGTCTAGTTTCAAAACTCTAAAATAAAAAATGTATTTACTGTCTAAACACATGTTAGGCTTACATAATCACTGAACTGTCTTAGAAAAATTTTTATTAAATAGTAATTCGTTTTAATCAAAAGTCATGTATCTTCGGATTTTTACTAAAGAAAAATTAATAGCACGGATAAGTTTAAATTTCGCTAATTATTTAATTCATATTGTAAGCTTGTCCTCCTGTTTTGTTGATTTATTTATGTTTACACTGCTATCCCTATGCGAAGCGTTCTTCACGTGGTTTTTTGGATTTATTGGAATGTTTCGATCAGTTGATTTACTATCCAAAGCTCTAACCCTCTGCTCTAACCTACTTAATACCCGAATATCTTTGGTGGTCGTTCGGTGACGTTTTCGAGGTATTTTAAGAGTCTGAAGAGATTCGTGGATGGCGTTCTCACATTGTAACTTCAATTCACGTGCTTTGTCAACATCGATGAATGTTTCTTGAAACCGGTAACTAAATTTAAGTTAAACGAAATTCCAAGAATTATTTACATATATAAATTTTACGCTAAAAGATACATTAAAAATTGTATCATATGTACCTTAACCACAAATATAACATAAGAGTTCTGTGAATTGATTCCATCTCACTAAGCATTTCGTCGTTATGGGGAAGTTTGGCAGGAATCTTCACAACTTCGGCAATACGACAGGGTCTACTTTGACTGTGCAGCAATGCGAACTAAAAATAATGTAATAAAAAGCAATATCAATGTTAATAATAATACTTATAGTGAAATAAATATTGCTTAAGTAATGTCTAATTAAAAATTCATTTCATCAGACGGCCTAAAATCATGTACCTTTTGAATGTTCTTCATTAGACGTACGTCAGAAGTGTTTACGGGCCCAGTAACAAAACTAAATCTCTCAGGAATAGTCATTTGTATATGTTCTATTGAATTTGCAATAAGCTTTGTAAAGAAAACAAAGTGATTAAGAGATAAAATAATTAACTCAGAAAGTTATCATATTCCAAAATATCAGACTACCTTTTGAGTATAAAAGTTACATAAAAAATATTGACCATCGACTCGAGCTAAA